GGCTTGTGTACAGACTCGTGCCAAGGAACAACTTGAAATTTGTATGGAAGACCTAAAAGAAAGGCCCTGGATTCATTTAGAGGCGTGCGAGCAAATTCTTCTACTGATTTTAGAAAATTCTCGTAAAACGTATTTGTTTATTCTTTGTTTTATTGCTTTATTATATAAATTATTGCCCATATTAACTTATTTATCTTTTTTTTAGAGTTGGAGATAAAGAAACTTGCGTAAATCAATATGATATTCGAGATTATTCTGATAAATACCCTTCTTGCGGAATGTCATGGCCTTATGATCTTACAACTGTTTCTACATATTTGCGGGTAACGAAAAAAAGTCTATGATAAATTATGATAAATAGTTTTATATGCTCGTATTTAAACAATAAATTCAATTCTAGTAAATTTTTAATTTTTTAGCGTGCTGATGTTATTGGGGCCATTCATGCTAGTAAACAAAAAATTGGTTGGATAGAATGTAATAATGGTGTAGGCCGTGGCTTTGATTATGATCCAAGTCCACCTGCTGTTCAGGTAAGTAATTCATATTCATTGTATCCAATTGTAATTTTATAACAATATTCATTATAATATTATAGTTATTACCTTCTATTTTAAAACAAATTGATGTTTTATTATACGTGTATGTATATATACATAATATTTATGTTATATTTTATAATTACTATTTTTTTTCTAATTGTCATTCATTTGGATTTCAATAGTGGGGATCAAGATCTAATTTGTAACCGAAATGGTATTGAAGATATGATAAAAGAGCTTGATTGGAATGGTGCTAAAGGTTTTCAGGTTGATTTTTTTGCTTTTATTAGTTTATATTTCTATTCATGTTACAATTTATTTATTATTTTATTATATCACAGAATCTTACCGAAAAAAATTGGTTTGTTAATGATAAACCTGCTGGTCATGTTTTATCAGAAAGAAGGCTCACATATGTGGTAGTCAACAATGCTAGTCATATGGTACCATATGACCAACCGGAAGCTAGCATGGCTATGATGTATTGGTTTATTGGAATTAATAATCAAGTTGCCGCAAATTTATCATACAAGTTTGGATTTGAGGTAAACAAATTTTTTTTTAATCAATTATATAGTTAATTTAAATGAATATTAAAGAATTGTGTCATTATGTTCTAGTCGAATGCCAAAGCCTCAACTCCAATTTCAGATATAAATGGTACAATTGCTGATAGTGGTGATAATGAAATATTGGATCGATATTACAACGCGTAGGTTCTTGATTTATTATCAT